GCTGGCAGGCGAATGAAAAGCCTCAGAGAAAAAGGCAGCGGGGAAAGGAGGCGCAAATTCCGGCGAAAGTTGAGAACCCTGGCGAAATATATAAAAAGCGCGAGCCCCGGGAGAAGGCGTGAGCCCCGGGAGAAGGCGCGAGCCCCGGCAGAAAGTGCGAGAACCGACGGAAGGCACGAGCCCTGCCGGAAGGCGTGGTGGCTGAGGCGGAAGAAGCAGGTGCCTCTGGGAGTTCCAGGGGCATGCGCCTGGGCACGCGCACTTTGGGCCGCCCAGCAAGTGGACGCGCATGCCCATACCCACGTGCTGATGCTAAGTCGTCCACCATGATGTCCAGCTGTTTTGAATATTAATTTAGTAACCAGGCTCTTTACTTTCTGTATTTTATTTAAGTTCATTTTATTTCTTTCCTTTCCCCCATATAAAAGTAGCTGCAAAGAAAAGCCTGTTCCTTTTTAACATTTATGCTTTTTTTCCTCTTATTTAATTGCACCAACAGACCAACAGGTAATAGCATGAGCAGGGCAGGTGCAGTGGCTCACACCTGTAATCCTAGCACTTTGGGATGCCAAGGCAGGAGGATTGCTTGCGTCCAGAAGTTCAATACCAACCTAGGTAACACAGCGAGACCCTTTCTTTACAAAAAGTAAACAAACAAAAAAAGCCGGATATGGTGGTGTTCACCTGTAGTCCCAGCTACTTGGAAAGCTAAGGTGGAAGGATCAGCTGAGTCCAGGAGTTTGAAGTTCGAGGCTGCAGTGAGCCATGATTGTGTCACTGCACTCCAGCCTGAGCATGAGGCCAGACTGATTCAAATATATATATTGAGACTGCTTGTCTTGTCCTTTAATAGGAATGCTAAGTATTATACAATTATTAAGTATCTAGCTATTTCTGTTTTTACTGAGTTTTGTTTATTAATGGATGTTGAATTTTGTTAAACAGTCTCAATATCTTCTGAGATGAAGAATATTTTTTCCCTAATGGCAAACAGTCACCACATTCAAACAGATTTCCTAATGTTAAATCAACCATCCTTGCATTCTTTTTTTTTTTCTTGAGTTGGAGTCTCACTTTGTTGCCCAGGCTGGAGTGCACCTCGGCCTCCCAAAGTGCTGGGATTACAGGTTTGATCCACCATGCCCAAACAGTTTTTTAAAAAAAATTTGTTTCCTTTTCTATGTGATTGGTAAAGTTTATTATATTAAATTGGAATTAAAAAGAAGAGTCTTAGCCGGGCTCAGTGGCTCAGCCTGTAACCCCAACACTTTGGGAGGCTGAGGTGAGTGGATTGCCTGAACCCGCGGGTTCGAGACCTGCCTGGGCAACTTGACGAGACCTCATCTCTACAATAAATCAAAAAATCAGCCAGGCATGGTAGTGCGCGCCTGTAGTTCCAGCTACTGGGAAGGCTGAGGTGGAAGGATTGCCGGAGCCCAGCAGGTCAAGGCTGCGGTGGCCGGGAGCAGCCACTGCACTCCAGTCTGGGCGACAGAGTGAGACTCCCAAACCAAAAAAAAAAAAAAAAAAGAAGAGTCTTTTTGTTCAAGATGTCAAGAATTCTACCTATGAAACTATCAGGAGAATTCTTCATCAAATTCCTTAATTTCTCCCACTATAATTATTGGACTGCTTAGATTTTTCCTATTCCCTTTGGGGTTAATTTCTGCTATTTTTATTTTCTTATTTTCATCTAGGTTTTTAAATTTTTGCTTTGCAAAGATGAAAAAAGAACATTTACAATTGTTTTAATTTTCTCTAGCTTAAAATTTTCTTAGTTTTCATTCTCCAATCTGATTGATAATTCTGTCTATAGATGCTTTCTCCCATTATTATTATTATTTTTTTTTGAGTTGGAATCTCACTCTGTCGCCCAGACTGGAGTGCAGTGTGCGCTCCCGGCCACCGCAGCCTCGACCTGCTGGGCTCTGGCGATCCTTCCGCCTCAGCCTTCTGAGTAGCTGGAATTACAGGCGCGCGCTACCACGCCCAGCTGATTTTTTATTTATTGTAGAGATGAGGTCTCGCCAAGTTGCCCGGGTCTCCCATTATTTTAATTAATCTTTTCTGCTTCAAATAATGTTTGGATTTAGCAGTTCTACTTTTCTTATTATTTCCTGTCTATATCCTTACTAATTACTTCATCATTTCTTAACTATTTTATAGTTCCTTTCTCACTTCTTAAGTTGAATGCCTAACTGATTTATTTCCATTTCTAACTGCATAACTGCCTAAGACAGTAGTCTTTCCATTTAGCAAAACTTTACACATTATCTAAGTAAAATAATTTCATTTTCATTTTTAGATATATTGAAATTATGGTTTTAAATTAGATTGATCCAAGGGGGCTGGGCGCGGTGGCTCATGCCTATAATCCCAGCATTTGGGAGGCCGAGGTGAGAAGATTGCATGAGTCCATGGGCTTGACACCAGCCTGGGCAACTTGGTGAGACCTCATCTCTACAATAAATCAAAAAATTAGCCAGCCATGGTGACGTGTGCCTGTAGTTCCAGCTACTTGGAAGGCTGAGACAGAAGGATTGCCTGAGCCCAGTAGGTTGAGGCTGTGGTGGCTGGGAGTATGCCACTGCCCTCCAGCGTGGGTGATAGAGTGAGACTCCGACTCATGAAATCAATCAATCAATCAATAAATCGATCCAAGGTGTGATTAAGATAAATTTCTAAATTTCAGGCAGTTTTTACTTAGGGTCCTACTCTTTTTTTTTTTTGAGTTGGAGTCTCACTCTGTCGCCCAGACTGGAGTGC